TATATATATATATATATATATATATTTGTAATACTGGAACTACGCTACCAATGGATGTGGACCTATAAAATAGTCTTGATGAAGGATTTGTTTCACACATCTTAATAAATAAGCTAACTTCTTTTATTGAAGAAATACATCATAACGTTATGGGAGGGGGCGGGAGAATAGTTTATTCTTATGTGGTTCCCCGCCATGGCTCATAATGTAACCACATTACCTAATCCTGTTACACCTGAAAAGTGAAAATGACAAGATTCATCTACTATAGAAAGCCCCTCTTATATAGGAGACGTTCTAATGTTTGTGAACCGATTTACCCTACTGAATATTGACCAATGTCTATTTCTAACGTTTTCAGAGAGTAGTTACCCCTTTGTAGCATATTGTTTTTGAGGAAGGGCCCTCCAACCAATATCCCGACGAAAGAAGCCTCCAGACCAGTTAACTTTCTCAACAGCTTGATAAGCTCGATCACGTGCCTCCTCGAGATCATTTCCCTTGGCAGTAATCCCAAGGACACGCCCCCCAGTTGCAATAAATCTTCCTTCAGAGTCAAATGCAGTTCCTGCATGGAATATCTTGACACCTGGAGCAACAAGCTCAGCTTCTTCAAGGTTTTCAATCAAGGTTCCCTTTTCGTATGATCCGGGGTATCCATTACTTGCCATTACCACAACCATGGCAGACCCGGGAGACCAATTCAGTGATATGCCATTCAACTCTCCTCTGCATGCTGCAAGCAAAACTTGTACCAAATCAGACTCCAAAATTGCATAAAGAGAAGAGAGAGTTCCAAAATTGAGTTTCGATCACAGGTGATACTTGTGGGCATCTAATTCCTCAAACGTTGACATTTTCAGTTGACCTTGCTGAATTTCTGCTAAACTATTCAAAATGTCAGTTTATCATATGGTGGGCAGGCCTGATGAGAGGTGCTGTGACTATTGCCCTAAGTTATAACCAGGCAAGTACATGATATAAGGTTTAATATGTTTCATAGTCCTTGCAAATATGGCAAATTTTGGTTTGTCTTCAATTATTGTTTAGTTTCAATCTTTACAGATTTTAAAATATTTAAAAATGATCCCTATGATAGTATGATGATATGACATGCATCTAGACATGTCAACCCATCTAGACATCTCAACTTGAATTCTAAGTTTATTCTTCTCTGAAAAATCCATTCTGGACCACACATTTCGTCCGAGATGCTTTCAAATGCAGTTTTCAAAATCCAAGAGAACATTAGCTCAAGACTCGACATTAATGATCACCTCAACAATACTCGTGGTCTTATTCAGTACTGTGGTGGGTTTCGTATTCTATAGATATAAATAATATTATTTGCATCAATATCAAATAAGTACTAATATGGTTGCTTGCGTTGCAAACAAACAAAAAATGCAAACAGATATTTGGTTCCATAACAAGGCCTCTTATTGAAGCTGTGCTGCTAAGGCATTCAAAACCAGCCACTTCTGATTCCCCTGATAGTCCAGAAGATTTGAGATTCCAATTACTTGAAGTCAGTGGTCCCATTAACCAAAGTAATAATCAACCATTTCATAGGCAAAGTAGCCTAAGATTGCTCACAAGTTATCCAACCACAACTATTCACTACTTTTGGAGGATATTTGATGACAAGTTCATGAGACCTGTATTTGGTGGAAGGGGTTTTGTTTCATCTGTTCCTGGTTCATTATCTAGTGAAGCAGAGGAAATTTCTTGAAACACAATTAAGCTGCTTCTCTTCATCTTTTCTTTCAATAGTTAATGCACAGACGGTGGTTTTGTTACTTTTGTATAACTAAAACCGTAATGCCTATTTAAACCATTTTCTCTGTACAATGCCAAAAGTTGTTACATGGAAAAATCAGATTTGAGGGTGATGGGTGAGATGTATAGGTCATCATGTCAGATTTTTTTTGCTGATGATTTCTTTGAAACAGTAATATGGATTTTTTGTCTATCTTTCGAAGACGTTCATATAATCATATGCAGCATTGAATGATATGGTGAACAAATTGGATGGTAGATTGACAGGCATTGGCTTCAGTCGCTTATATATATACATATATAAGATTTTTTTGCTGATGATTTCTTTGAAATAGTAATATGGATTTTTGTCTATCCTTTGAAGACGTTCATATAATCATATGCAGCATTGAATGATATGGTGAACAAATTTTAGCATATGATTATATGAACGTCTTCAAAGGATAGACAAAAATCCATATTACTATTTCAAAGAAATCATCAGCAAAAAAATCTTATATATGTATATATATAAGCGACTGAAGCCAATGCCTGTCAATCTACCATCCAATTTGTTCACCATATCATTCAATGCTGCATATGATTATATGAACGTCTTCGAAAGATAGACAAAAAATCTATATATATATATATATATATATATTTGTAATACTGGAACTACGCTACCAATGGATGTGGACCTATAAAATAGTCTTGATGAAGGATTTGTTTCACACATCTTAATAAATAAGCTAACTTCTTTTATTGAAGAAATACATCATAACGTTATGGGAGGGGGCGGGAGAATAGTTTATTCTTATGTGGTTCCCCGCCATGGCTCATAATGTAACCACATTACCTAATCCTGTTACACCTGAAAAGTGAAAATGACAAGATTCATCTACTATAGAAAGCCCCTCTTATATAGGAGACGTTCTAATGTTTGTGAACCGATTTACCCTACTGAATATTGACCAATGTCTATTTCTAACGTTTTCAGAGAGTAGTTACCCCTTTGTAGCATATTGTTTTTGAGGAAGGGCCCTCCAACCAATATCCCGACGAAAGAAGCCTCCAGACCAGTTAACTTTCTCAACAGCTTGATAAGCTCGATCACGTGCCTCCTCGAGATCATTTCCCTTGGCAGTAATCCCAAGGACACGCCCCCCAGTTGCAATAAATCTTCCTTCAGAGTCAAATGCAGTTCCTGCATGGAATATCTTGACACCTGGAGCAACAAGCTCAGCTTCTTCAAGGTTTTCAATCAAGGTTCCCTTTTCGTATGATCCGGGGTATCCATTACTTGCCATTACCACAACCATGGCAGACCCGGGAGACCAATTCAGTGATATGCCATTCAACTCTCCTCTGCATGCTGCAAGCAAAACTTGTACCAAATCAGACTCCAACCGAACCATTAAGACCTGTTTATAATTTCAAAAAAAAAAATGATATGCATCAACCGTTAGCATGGCTCCAATATTACTAACATAAAACATTGGGATAATGTGATTATCTATTATCAGTGGTTGTATCCTTTGCATTTTGTAAATAAACTAATGATTGTGTGTGTACATGTGCAAATGTTTGATAAGATTTGAGTAGGGGTGTTCATAGATCAAATTTTTGAAAAATTTAAACCAAATCGAACAAATTCATTTTATAAAAGTGGATCACTTAACCGATCTGTTTTTTATAAAGTGAATTAGTTTGAATTTTTTTTAAATATAGATCCAATTTTTTAAAACTAGATCAGTTTAGTGCGTTACGATTATCTACTTTATACTCATGTGAGCATTGCTTTTTTTTAAAAAAAAACTAAGTTGAACTGATCCACTTTGTAAAAATGGATCAAGTAACCAAAACGGTTTTGCAAAGTAGATAGGTTCAAATTTTTTCTCAAATATGGATCAGATTTTTAAATATGGATCGAATTGTTTTGAATCAGATTGGATTTTGCACATCATTAGATCTAAGATATAAGTGAAGTATAACTAAAGAAGAGCTTTGAAAGGTTGGACAACAATTTGTCTATCAGCAGAAATATCACAGGACATCAATTTGTAATTTGAAAATAATAAAAGAATAACATGGCAAGATATGAAATTTAGAAATCGTTGTCACTTGACACATTTTTCAAATGAACAAAAGGACAAAAGAATTATAAAAGAAAAATTGCAAGTCTTTTGAATTAAAATCTGCATACATCCACCAAAACATGTGATCAGGAACAATGGACATATCTAAATGAAAATTACGAGATTTCTAAAGAAATTTTTTTTAATAATGCCTTTAGAGTTCTAGCCTGTTATAATGTATTTCAATGGTTAATTACTTACATTAGAAAGTGAATTCATTTTAACAAGTTTCTTATGAATTTACTGACCTGGCACTCTGGATCACCAAATCGCACATTATACTCAATTAACTTAGGCATGCCAGACTTTTTCTCAATCATAAGCCCAGCATACAAAACCCCGACAAACTTGCTACCTTCTGCTGACATTCCTTTTACTGTTGGGATGATTATAGAATCCATTACTATAGATTGAAGTTCCTTGGTTAATATAGGAGCTGGAGAATATGCACCCATGCCACCAGTATTTGGCCCTGTGTCACCATCACCAACTCGCTTATGGTCCTGAGCAGATTCTAGTGGAATTGCATTTTCTCCATCAACCAATGCAAAAAATGATGCTTCTTCTCCTTCTAGAAATTCCTCAACAATGACACGACAACCTGCAGAACCAAAATCACCCTTCACCAGCATTGAATCAACAGCTTCATGCGCCTCTTCCAGTGTCATGGCAACAGTAACTCCTTTTCCAGCAGCCAGTCCATCTGCTTTGATAACAATTGGTGCTCCTTGTTCTTGAATATATTGTTTTGCAGCAGATGGGTCAGTGAATGTTTTGTACTGCAATAGTAAACCAGGATTGATAAGAATTTCTTAAAGAAAAAGACGTAAACAAGGTCAAAGGATGATGGAGACGCACACACATGTATACATATATTCAAGGAGGATATGACAGAAAAGCACATACATGGAATTAAAATAGAGAAATAAGGGCACAACACAGTGATTCAACTAATTATACCATATTATACATAAATTCTTAAATATATTATATTCTAACTTAATTAATAGAACAAGAGGTAAGTCAACAACATTCATATTGACTATCAAGGAAACCCTTTCAGCTAAACAAAAATCATATCAAGAAACTAAAGCAATAAAGTTTTAACTGATCCACTTACTAATTACTGATTAGTAATTTACAAAATTCATGGAGAATCTACTTATATGATACAATACATGAAAGTATGCACAAATATCATTACAACAGAATAAGGATTAAATAGTGATTTGGTTAATGAGATTCAGAATAAGACAGACCTTGGCTGTTGGAATATCATACTTGTCACACAAATGCTTCATGAAATTCTTAGAACCTTCCAAAGCAGAAGCCTCTGCAGATGGACCAAAAGTTGGGATTCCAGCCTTAACTAACTCATTTGTAAGACCTGCAACAAGTGGAGCCTCAGGTCCAACAACAACAAGTCCCACCCCTCTTTTCCGGCAAAATGAGATTACTGCTTCTCCATCATAAATATCAAGGTCTGAGATGCAAGTAGCATTTTTCGAGCTAGAAATCCCTGCATTGCCTGGGGCACAAAGTACAGTTTCACAGGATGGTGATCGTTGCAAGGCATAGCAAAGTGCATGTTCACGTCCCCCTCCACCAATAACCAGAACAGTCACTGTTTCTTCTAACGCACAAGGAATTAAAAAATAAAAAAAATAAAAAATAAAAAGAGGCAAGAAAAATCAGTAAATGAATTAAAGTGATTAAATACTCATATAGTCATATATAAGATATTGAATCTTCTAAACTCTGAAATCATAACAAAAGCAGAAGACTGAATTAGTTGCACTTGTACCCATACAATATAACATATGATGTGTATCATTGCAATCCACAAAAAACTGAAAAGAGAAAGACAAGCCACCACTGCAAACTTTTCAAGTCATTGACCCATTCAGTAAAGATGGTTGTTGTTCCTATTGTCAACAGCTTAACAATTACTCCAAAACTTCATTCTATTAATATACCAAGCGTTTGCACTGCAGTGGGAACAAAAATTGGGGATTTAAGATATTAGGTGTAGTATATATATGCCACAACAGCCTATACTTGCTTAATAAGAATTTCAATCAGTATTAACCAAGAAAGGGCCAACCTCAGGCAACCACTTTGAAATTCACTCCATAATACTGTGTCTAATGATTTTGGGAACCACATTGGTTATGCTAATGTGGCCATTGACCAATAATAACTTTAGAGAACACAATCTCTAAAAAATTAGGAATGAAAATATATAATATTGCAATACAAAGATAATGGGAACGAAAAGATAGAATAATTGCAGTTCTTACGATAATTGTTCTTTGTGTCAACGCCAACAGGTGATGATTCCGAATACTGAGCAGCACATTTGAAAACACTGCGGAACGAGCGTGAGGGTATATCCCGGCCAAAACTATGACCAGTGGAGCTCAAATTCAATGTTTCAAGGAAGAGAGAAGAAAAGTTGTGAAAAGTAGACTGGTGTCTGAACCCAAATGGCTTAGAAACTGCATGCTTAGTGCATTCATGAAGATTCAAAGAAGCTGCAACATTGAAGGTGGCGCAAGACATTCTACTCCCTGTTACAAAATAATCCAGTTTCAGAAGAAATGGCATAACCGTGTAATCTTCCTAAGAGACGCTGAGAAAAAAAGTAAAATAAACAAAGGCAAATGTGCTTAAATTTTCAAAGCAGCACTGTTTAGCTGAAGCATCGTATTTTTGCAAGTTGCATGTTGGGTTTTAGGCACAAAATCTTATGAGTAAATTTATCAAACAGCTTGTGTACTTGGAGAGGAAAGTTGAGGTGGTGACAAACAGAGAGTGGGTTGAAACACGATAAATGCTTTTAATGGCAGAAACATGTGCGGTGGCAACGAGAGATTAGAGATTGAGTTGAGAATATTGACTACTGAGATGAATTTTACCGTTGAATCACAACCTCGCTCTGCACAGAATCTTGTTCTCGGATGTTTCTCCGACAAAAACGATGTGCACCGTCCTGTGTTTTCCCTTGCCTCTTCATAAATAAAAAAATTACCGAAAATTTTGAAGAGGTAGCCACTAGCCGCTAGAGCTGTCAAAACGGGTAACCCGGCCCAATCCACTGCGGATTGGTGAGTTAAACGGATTGGCTCATCTAATTTAAAAAAAAATGTAATTTTTTTTTAATGTACAACTAAAGCCCAAAATGCAAATGCCTTTACTCGAAGGAAAATGCATGAGAAGCATTTTAAGAACGAACCTGGAAGTAGCGGTGGCTCGCGATGGGCTCACGATGCGTGCGGCGGCTCGCGGTGCGCACGGTGGCTCGCGACTCGCTGTGCGCGGTGCGGTGTGGTGGCAGGTGGCAGCGGTGCGGTGCGGACTGCGGAGTGCGGACTGATGAGGGTGTGAGCCTGTGAGAACTAAGAGCTAGAGTGCATCAAACCCAAACCCTAATTTGGCCCAACCCGTACTGAAATTTTTAAATATATTTTGCCCAAACCGGCACAAATCATGGTGAGCCGGGTTCGCTCATTAGACTTAGCCATTTTGACAGTTTTAATACAAAATATAGTAATGTTAAAATATTAGTTTTATAATAATTAATATTTTAATATATGCATTTCATATTTTATATATATATAT